TGTACATGCTTATATATTTTTATTTATATAAAAGTTTTCATTAATAACTKTGGAAGCATTTAGTGCCGAATTAATTAATGAAACTTGATCTGGAATTTAAAGTGGGCAGCAGTGGACTTTATAATAGTACTAATTAGTTGGGATAGCTGAATGAATGAATGAATGAATGAATGAAAATAGCACATTTTTTCTCTTTTTGGTCATTTGCAACTGCTGCACACAGAAGGAAGGTTTCCATAAAGGGATATTGTTCAGAGCTGATGTGGTGGTGTTGTGAAAAATYGAACGATTAATATGTTACCTGTTTTAGATTCCTATTTGAACAATCTTAGTGTGGAGGAAGATCAACTCTGACAGAACTGTCCAGCTAACAGCTAGTTTAGTTGGGCCAAGACTTAAGTTAAAAACTCCTTTATGTTTTGTTTTAGTGTAGTTGGTGTCACATTAATGAATGAGTTTTGTAACATGTAGTATCAGCAGTTTAGGCACAAAAARATTTAATTTGCTTTCTCTTGTTCTCATCTCTGGTTATTTGCTATCCATTGTTTAACTTGCCTTTGAGTATGAGCTTGYTTTTTTTCAGTGACATACAAAAGCACATGTGCACAGAAGGTGAAACACCAGTGACTCTTGTGAACATTCATCTCCTGCGAGCCACCACTCTCTGAAGGTTCTGGACTAATTGCTGGGAAATCCTGGTCGAGGCGACAGAGTCCCACTTTGACAAAGTGGGCGGCGCGTGTGCACTTCATCTTCCCGCGCTGACAGCACCGTGCCTCTCCACAAGTCAGCATCTTTGAGGTGAAGTGTTGTAAACAGGGCCCCGTTCAGAGAGAGGATGGGCTTTGCGGGAAGCTAAGGAGTTCATCGTGTCCTTGAAACTTTCTCTGAGTGGCAGCGAGGTGTCAGGGAGTTGTTCAGCGACTGCAGACGGCTGAGCCCCTCCTCTCGCTGTCATCGTGTGATGGCAGAGACACGTCGAGAGCATCCTCCCATATTGCAGCAGAGTGATTGGTGGTGTGATTATACGCTGCTGTGTAAGTTGTTTGTGTGTGCTGATTAGGGCTCATCTAATGCACCCAGGAGGTTAATTTAGCCTGCAGATTATGTGTCAAGCATTCACTCCCATTCAGAGTTGGTAAATGTTTATAYACCCATCAATCATTACTGAGACTGTTCACACCAGCTAACAGGTCCAAACACACACACACAAACACACACACAAAATGTCTGACTGATGCTGCAGCTGGATGTTTCTGATGGGATTCAATAAAACATATTTTTATGGCACGGCGCGCTTTACACCGAGCTAAGCCCACTGTCACCCACTCTGAAGTGCAAATGAGTCCATAATTAGAKTCTACATGTGAGATGCAGATGCTGCAATCAACCAACATAAAAGAACTAGAAAAAAATGTGTATCTGCAAAAACACCATTTAAGCTTGTTGGATGGAARTGAAAATAAAGAAAGCATGAGTACATGTATATATTTTTAACACGGTCCGAACTTCCAGGTTTCTATTTGTCTTCAGTGTAGCAGCTACAGGAAACATATTCACTTTATTTTAAATAATTACTGCATTATAAGTCGGCCAGATTGGTTGTAAATTTTAAGTCCTAAAGTGATCCCTTGAAACGGGGTTCTGCAAAAAAGTTAAGAACATTCAACATCATGTTTTAGATAGTTGTCTGAACAACCTGAGCACATATTTTAGGAAGATATGATAGCTTCTCTAAATAAACTGACCTATCTTACACTTGATAAGGGCAGTTTATATTTATGATGTGCACCATGCTGCTACTGTATATCCCTGCATCATCTTTATTAGCAAAGATGTAATAACACGGGAAGCTTTCTTTAAACATACTTTCAGTCAATCTGAAACATATGCAAACATKTCAGCGCAGTTCAAAATTACCACCGATTCAGCACTTTTGTTTCCTTTCAGGCATAATCACTCAAATATTTTATATGCAAACATACATTGTCTAAATGTTGGTTTAGAATCAAAGACATGTGTTTGACATCTATGGACACAAAAAATAACCAGTTTTTCACAATAACCTGTCATAAATTACACAGTTTATAGCAAAAAACTGAGAGCCCTGTGGAAGTTTGAGTGATTGTTGATGGTAAAGAAAACTGATGGATAAATTATGAAACATTTGAAGATGTATTTTCTATTCTGATGGATTAGTTTTGCCTAAGAACCACATGCTATTTGTAATAATTGTGAAGCTTGTCTGTGTTTTAATCCTGTGCAAATCGGCTATGTCAGTAATTTGTAAAGTAAAAATTCCCCTGAAAATTACTTACTATATTTTGCTGAACTCGTGTCATAATAATATTCCAATGCAAATGGGCATCTCTGTGATTTGTACAGGAATGGGCTGAATCTGATATGTAATAGACATTTTTTTGTTTGTTTGTTTGTTGGGTTTCCTGGGCACATTTTTATTTGCCTCTGGTGAAGAATGGCTGGATTGGAGTGCACTGAAAACCTTTTGGGTCTCAGGCCAGCAAAGCCCTATTGACCCTTAACAAGTGGCATCAAAAAAGAAAAGGCTGCAGAGTAGGAGCAAAATCAGATGCAAATGGTGGCTCATGCATTGCATAATTGTGATTGTAATGCTTGTGAATAGTGCAGTAATAATTCACTCTGGTTTTGCACCCACTTCGATCATTCTGGTCAGATTAAACTGCCCCTGCCTTCCCCTTCAAACTTAGGTTGTACAAAGAGCCATCTACAACATGTAAAATATTAAGTATTCATAACTTTTCCATAAAACCCCATTTCAAAATATCCAAACTATTGAGAAACAATCAGATTTTGCTAAAAATAAATTTATACAAATCTGGCAAACTTTAAAACATGTACTCATACAAACACACTTTTCAGTTCCATCTCACTTCCAAAGTGAATGCATGAAAAACTCACGCTAAAGACTTCTGACCGTGTACTTCTCCTGTAATGTATTATTTTCTATCTGCCCCTCTCTTTGTTACTGAGACCACTCTGAGTGACATGCTGCATGGCGAGCCTGTCTAAATGGTGTGATGTAGACCGCTGTGGACAACCCCATCTACAAAATGCCGTGTGCCAGCTCACCCTTACTTTTCAGAAGATGCCAGCGCTGCACTGCAGCTTGGTCCCTGTCCAGATAACACCACTGTGTGTAGCCGGTCCTCACTGCTGGAGCTTGGCATTAACTAGGACTCATAAAAGCTCCAGTTAGAGTGCATAATGGCAGAGAATAGATCATTCAAGACTATAATAATTAAAAAAAAACATTGCTAATGACATGTTTTCCCCTCTTGGATGTCCTGATAATGTGAAACTCCTATGAGACCCAATGGCCTGAACGGTCTACTTTTGTATTTTTAGTGGAAACAAAAAGTCTGTCTTTTTAATTCTGCTAAAGACTCTAAATGTTAATGTGCTATTTATACAAATTTTAAGCAGCTGGTAGCAAATTTGTCCAGCGTCAGAGCACAAAAGGGACACTTTCAAACATTTACTGTTATTAAAGTGACATCTGGCTTACTGAATAAAGTGATTAGATTTTTAGGGGCCAAACTAGACTGCCAGTCACTTGACTGACTGGTTCGGATGCAAGGCAGATAAAAATCTGTATTTTCACACCCACCTTTCATGTAAAGGTTGATTATTTTATACTCGGGAGGACAGACTCTATGGAGTATTCCCTCAAAGAGGTTTATTTGCCTTTAACGGTACTTGAACGTTCACATAGGCTCTGCAAGCAGTTTTAGTCCTGCTAACCAAAAGTCATCTTTGAACACTTGTAAACTGAAGGACAATTATCACACTTCATTGTGAGGGTTTACATACTTACATGGGCAGTCCTGGATAGATTGTTTTTGAGGCAGAGATGGAAATGATGTCATTAACATAAATTAATTAAGAGAGCCTATTAGGATGTCAGACGAAGTGACAGTGACAGACATCAGCTCAAGTGTTGGGTTATATTTACACCTAAAGTAAGATTTTAACAGGGCATTTAATGAAGAGGCTGTTAGAAATTCAGTTTTATATGTTAGGCATGTGGAACCGTTAGTCATTATAATATGGTGTCATCTTTCTTTTTTCGCTCCATCCTTGCGCTACTAACAAAGGTCAGCTAGTGCAAAAAAATGCAACACATCTCTGAAGCATCACACCATCCCACTGACCCCCAATAGATGTCTAATAATTTTATCATCACTTTCAAAACCTGCATGGTCTGAACGTAATTTTATCCCCAAAGCCTAAAGGCATAAACATGTCATCACAATGGCAAGACCAGAAAAGCAGTSGGCAGGTTTACTAGATGCTTTGGAATACGTGTGCCAAGATCACGCGTGAAGGTTGTTTCTCAGGCAAACATTTTGTCCCGGAATGGCGTACCTCGTGTCTCCTTTAAATCATAAAAAGAACTGATTTGCCGTACAAATGACAAACCAATTTTAGCTGATTTAAAAAAAAAAAAAGACGACTTCAGGCGTTACTCCGCCTCACCAACTAATCGGACACAAGCACCCAGTTTTWATACTTTGTCCTTGGATAATTATAGCTAGAAGCACAGGGTTAATTGAACTGAGAAAGGTTATCCGGTAGAGTTCAACTGAGAAAGCTCAGCTACAGAGTGAGGGAACAATACCTGTCAGAAGAGTTCTTTAGACTTCTCTCATGCAAATTTCCAACCTTGTGCTTAAGGTTTCCATTTGAAAAATGACTGTTTAATCTAAGGGCACCATATTGTCTACAGACCTAACCTTAAACTGTACAGTAAATCTACATGGTCTGTATTCATCACATTTTTTAAGGTYAAATCATGAAAATCAGGTCATACAAAATGGCTTGTTAAAGTTTGGTATTGTAGCTAAAAAACACCAACTGTATTAACATCTGATTATTTATTTTGTTTTCAAAAATGAACCCAACTTGGCATACATGTTGAAAATAAACAAGCTGTGTACAAAGAAATACGAGCTGGAAGGTTCATTTTTAGGGAGACTTTATTTACTAAGACAATTAAGTGGTTCCCATTCTTCTGCACACACTCTGAAGGATAAATATGTTCCAGATGATAACCTGCAGGGAAAAGCAAGCATACAGGACACAAAGTGAGAAAATGGTTTGCATACATCTGATGCTGGAAAAGCAATTTCTTAGTAAACATCAGCTTAGATAAATGTGACAACTCTAACCTGCTCCCACCTGATACGCATCGATGTCTACAATCAACTGTCACATTAACTTGTGAAAAATGCGAGCTTATCTGCACAATTTGGCCCTACTTGACATCCGTAACTGTCACTCTCAGACATACAGGTAATTTATTTAAAGAGACGCTAAAGAGGGAAAGGCTAAAGAGGTGCTGAGAAAGACTGATTGTCTGTGGTCACTGCACCAACCCACAGCGAAGCAAATGCCACATCATCCTGACATTTTAATAAAAAGCAGATATGCAAGATCAAAATGGTAGGTATAATTACCTTAAAAGGGTGAGTAACAACCTTGGAGCCATTTCACTTCTTCAGGAGATGATGTCTGACGACAAGGAAAGGGAATGCAAAGCCACTGCCTAAGAACAGCACCATCTTGGCCAGCAGATGCCACCTGTTCTCAACAGAAAACGGCAGGTTCTGCAAAAAGATAATGCAGTCAATCAAAAAAATTTACACAATCGCTAATAAAATTACCACTTAATGACTAAAAACATTAAGACACGAGTTCCCAATTCAAATGGGAAAAGCACATCTAAAAGTCTGCTAAATAATCTATATAAAATGTATTATTTCAACAAAAGATAGGAAAAGATGAAAATAAGTTTTAAAATGTATTTGCATTATTATGACATAGGTCACCATATCAAAGACTTGCAGGAAGTGAACTAAACAAACCTTCTGAATTGTACATGGTTTGCATTTAAATATTTATTATATTTCTAGAAATAAAGATCATAAAAATGAAGCTCCTAAGTTATATTTGACCACTATCCTGTTTCTGATTCACAAATGACAAAAGTAGAATTTATTTACTTTAACTTTTGCTGGTTTCAAGTAGATTCCAGTTAAACACGACATACTAACAACACCAGCAGCCTTGAAATAATTTATAGCTGCTGTTTTTTTTCTTTTAGAACAATTAAGCCAAACATTAGACAGCATCGATATTTTGTAAACTTTAAATTTGATTTCTGTTTCATAACTGCAGAGAATCTTAGGAAAAGAGAAATAAAGTATTGCTCACATGTTGACAAGACAGAATGGCATCTCTGTTCAAATTAGTCTCATAATTTTATTTTTTTCTATGGAACTATTCTGTTCATTATGTCACAATGTTTCTGACTGTGTATCAGACAACGTTTAGATTTGACCTTTGTAACTGCACTTGGGCGGAAGTACACAAGTAAATGAAATAAAAGAGAAAACTTTGGTATAACCCATACAAATKATTTAATGCATTTAGAASTTGGGTAMATTTCWAAAATATGGTGTGATTTCTAAAAGMTGAGTTTTAATTTGCTAACTAGGCTAGCAGCTTTGACAGCGTCAGCTCTCTACAGCTAAGCCTTATTCTAAGTCCATAACAAACCCATGCATGCTATTTTTACCCGTACTACCCCRCAATTAAGGGAATTAAGAAAGCCGTTATGCATTTATTTAATATTTTAGCGTTATCGTCATGCTTTTGATCAATAGCGAACATGACCTCCAAGTTAGCTAGCTAACGCCCGGCTAAGACCGACAGGGCCGCGTCGTATACCTCAWTTTAAAAGGCAACGTTTTTAACAAAAATATAACCTCACTTTTCCTGGTCCTTCAGCGTAATGCGAAGAACGAACTGCAGATGTTGCGAATCGTCTTACAGCCTGTCCCAGCATGATTACCGCCTGATGTACGAACTTTAGCAGCTCACAGCTAAGCGCGACCTTCTTATTTACTTCTGTATGGAAAAAAAGCAAAGGATTCTGGGAAATGTAATTGCGGTGTCTTATGGGAAATGTAGTTTATGTGACTGTTAACGATCGTGGTGAAAGAAACATTTTTCTTTTAAG